ATAGGTAGATTGTTAGAGCTCATACATTAACCTCACATCCAGAAGCCAAAAGGCTGTAGAGCAGGAGGAGCGTAGATCTAATCCCAAACAAAATTTTAGGGCTAACCTTTTTAGGACACAGCACAACCAGTTTTCCATACATTCCTTTCATCTAATTCTGCTATGGAAAATTTAAGAGTAATATGTGAGGAGGCTTCAGAAAGTTCTTGGAAAGATGGAATTGAAGGATGATGGAATTTCCCCACAAATTTGTTGAAGCCCCTTATGTCTCAAGTTCAACCCTTGTTGGAGCTGTCAATTGATTTGTTTGACTCAGCAAACCTGGTACGAATCAGGCTGTGAATCACAAGGTCAGCAGTTCAAAACTACCAGCTTATTCCGTGGCAGAAAAATGAGCTTTCTGCTCCTGTAAAGATTTACAGCTTTGGAAACCCTGTACAGAGTCACTAAGAGTTGGACAGCACATCACCACCACCCCATTTGATGTAGAACTGCAGCATCAGGTTCTCTTGGCTGTAATCTTGACAGAAGCTGGTCTTCGGGTCTTTTTCCCACAGAGTCACTGGGTGGGTTCAAACCATCAACCTTTTGGTTAGAAGCCAGGTTCAGCCTTGCTTTCCTCAAAATTATACATAGGCCTGGTGTGCTGTAGGATAAGCACTGGACTGCACGTTGCTTTGAATGGCAAGGTTGATTTAAACTCACCAGCCACTCCTTGGAAACCCTATACAGGTCAGTATGAGTTGGACTGGATGGCACTTAACAACTAACTATATACATACACACACGTATTAAGTTTTTATTGTGAATTGGGTGAAGATTTTAGAGCAGATCAGTTTCCCATTCAACAATTCATACACATTTTGTTTCTCATAGATTACAATCCCCACAATGCAACATAACTTGTCATATTTGCTTCTTGTGTTTTGTTTTCATTCCTCCTTTCTTAACCCTTCTGAACCTCCCTTGTTAACCCCTTTGCCCATTTGATCTAAAATGGTTTATTTTTCTAAGGTGTGTGTACATTCCCAGTGTTATTTCCCCATATATACTTGTTTGGTGTGGTGCTGTGGGTTAATGCGCTGGACTGCAAGGTTGCTATGAACAGCAAGGTCTGTGGTTCAAGCTCACCATCTGCACCTTGGAAACCTTATATAGGGTCACTATGGGTTGGAACTGACTTGGCAACAAACTTGTTCTTATACTTTTTTCTATTACTTTGTTCTAGTTAACCAAGCCTCTTAGCAGATGATCTCAGCTAATTATTGGAGAAAACAAGTTTGAATAGATGGCATTAATATGGATATACTATGCAAATTATAAGTAGTAGGTATTTTCACACGTTTGCATTATGAGAGGGTATTACTGACCCAAATCAGTGATTCTTAAACTTGTTCTGGTGCTGGAAGTACAGGCATGTGTTACTTAACCATTCACAATACAGCCTATGAAATAGGACGTTACGTGGTTTGGCTGATGTTTGAACACCATACTTTGAGAACAGATATGCCTGTATCATTTACTTCTTTTCCACCTTCATGTTTTATAACCTGTTCACTTCTAAACATTTCTCCTTTGCCTCTTTCTGCAATTAATAGTACTGGTTTTGCTGCATTTGGGAACCCTGATGTACTTTATGGTAATATTTTTAAAAGACAATTAAACGGAGGTAATACTATAACATTCGAGATAGACAGTACCCAAGATTGGCATGCAGTTATGATGTAAACTGTTTACCTTTAAGTAGGGAAAGTTCACTTTAACAATAGAACACTACTGTTCATATCTAAGCCAGTAACATGTTTATTATATGACTATCAGACATACTGGAGTCCTGGTGTGGTGCTGTGGGTTAATACATCAGACTGCAAAGCTGTTTGAACTGCAAGTTGGGCAGTTCAAGCTCACCAGCTGCTCCTCAGAAACCCTATACAGGGTCGCCATGGGTCGGAACTGACTCTACAGCACTAAACAACAATAGCATCAGACATACTGAACAGTACAGAAAGCATCAAAAGATGATCCAGAGTCACTGTTAAGCCATTTTAGGAGGTAGCATACCAGAGGCCTACTGACTAGAACTATTTGAATGTCCATTATAAGAGAGATAGTAAAACAATGGGAAAATTGATTAACAATAACTTTAATATCACAAGTAAAAATTTGCTGAAGATAATTCAAAACTGATGCAGCAGTACACTGACATAGAACTGCCAAAAACCACAGAACTGCTGGATTCAGAGGAGGACGTGGGATGGGGAATATCATTGCTCATGTCAGCTGGATTTTGGCTGAAAGCAGAGAATACCAGAAAGGTATTAAGTGTTTTATTGACTGTGCAAAAGCATTTGACTGTGGATCATGACAAGTTATGGGTAACATTGTGAAGCATGGGGATTCCAGAACACTTAATTGTGGGTTAATGTGCTGGACTGCAAGCTGGTTGAACCACAAGGTCTGTGGTTTAAGTTCACCATCCACGCCTCTGAAACCCTTTACAGGGTTGCTATGACTTGGAACCAACTTGATGGCACTTAACAATAACAAAACCGGTAGGTATGTAGACCAAGAGGGAATCTTTTAAACAGAAGAAACGGACACTTCTTGTTTTAAAAACAAGAAAAGTATATACTTCAGGGTTGTATCACCTCATCATACTTCCTCATCTGAGAACAAATAGTATGAGAAGTCAGATTCTATGAAAAAGACATGGCATAAGGATTAGGAAGACAGACTCATTAAAAACCTGTGATATGCAGATGACACAACCTTGCTGAAAGTAAACAAGCATTTCATTGATAAAAATCAAAGACTACAGTCTTCAGAATGGATAACACGTCAATATAAAGAAAACATCCTCACAACTGGATTAATAAGCAACATTATAATAAACGGAGAAAAAATTGGAAGTTTTCAAGAAATGAATTTTGCTTGGATCCACAATCAATGCCTATGGAAGCACCAGTCAGGTAATCAAAGGTATTGCATTGTGCAAGTCTGTTGCAAAAGATCTCTCTAAATGGTTAAAAAGCAAATATGCTACTTTAATGACTAAGATGCATCTGACCCAAACCATGGTATTTCCACACCTCATATGCATATGATCAGTAACGATGGTACTGAAGGAAGAAGTCCAAGGTGCACTGAAAGCATTGGCAAAGAACCAGGTGTCAGGAATTGATGGAATACAAATAGAAATCTTTCAACAAACTGATGTAACACTGGAGGCGTTCACTCATCTATGCCAAGGAATTTGGAAGACAGCTATCTACCTGGCCATCCACATTTGGATCCAAAGAGGGATGATCCAACAGAATGCAAAAATCATTGAACAATATCGTTAATATCACATGCTAGTAAAATTTTGTTGAAAATAATTAAAAAATGGCTGCAACAGGAAACTTCCAGAAACTCAAGCTGGATTCAGAAGAGGACATGGGACTAGGGGTATCATTGCTTATGTCAGATGGATTTTAGCTGAAAGCAGAGAATACCAGAAAGACATTAATCTGTGCTTTATTGATCATGCAGTTGTGTGGATCATGACAAGCTATGGACAACATTTTAAAGAATGGGTATTTCAGAACATTTTATTGTGTTCATGAACATATAGACCCAAGAGTCAATCATTCAAACAGGACAAGGGGGTACAGAATGGTTTAAAAACACGGAATGTGTGTTCCTGGCCTGTATTCTTTCACCATACTTATTCAATCTGTATGCGAGCAAATAATCTGAGAAGTTGGATTATATGAAGAAGAGCATGGCATCAGGATTGGAGGAAGACTCATTAAAAACCTGCAATATGCAGATGATACAATCTTGCTTGCTGAAAGTGAAGAAGAGGACTTAAAATAGTTCATGATAAAGATCAAAGACCACAGTTTCAGTCTGAATTGCACCTCAATATAAGAAAACAAACATTATTTCAACTGGACTAATAAATAGCAGCATGATACATGGAGAAAAGTTTGAATTAGTCAAGGACTTCATTTTGCTTGTATCTACAATCAACACTCATGGTAGCATCAGTCAAGAAATCAAATGATATATTGCAAAACCTCTTTAAAGTGTTGAAGAACAAAGATAGTTTGCAGACTAAGGTGCACCTGATCCAAACCATGGTATTTTCGGTAGCCTTATATGCATGTGAAGGCTGGACAATGAATAAGACCGTAGAAGTACTGATGCATTTGTGTTATGGTGCTGGAGAAGAATATTGAATGTACCAAGGACTGCCAGAAAAACAAGTTGTCTTGGAAGAAGTGAAGCCAGGATGATGAGACTTCATCTCTCACACTTCGGACATATTATCAGGATGAATCAGTCTCTGGAGAAGGACATGCTTGGTACAGTGGAGGGTCAGCGAAAAAGAGGAAGACCCCTAGCAAGATGGATTGACACAATGACAGCAACAATGGGCTCAAGTTATAACAACAATTGTGAGGCTTGCGCAGGTCCGGACAGCATTTCTTTCTGTTGTGCATGGGGTCACTGAGTCAGAACCAACTTGATGGCACGTAACAACAATGCATATAAAAAGCTGGACAATAAGTAAGACTGAAGAAGAATTGATGCTTTGGAATTATGGTTTTGACAAAGAACATAACATGGGTTGCCAGAAGAATGAACAAATCTGTCTTGGAAGAAGTACAACCACACTTTTTCTTAGAGGGAGGATGGTGAGACTTCATCTCAGGTACTTTGGACATGTTATCAGGAGGGACCAGTTCCTGGAGAAGGTGACATGTTTGGTAAAGCTGAGAATCAGTGAAAAAGAGGAAGGTTGTTAAGAAGATGGATTGAGAGAGTGGCTGTACTAATGGGTTCAAACTTCACCATTGTGAGGATGGCCCAGGATCAGGCAGTAGTTCATTCTGTTTACAGAGTTGTCCTGAGCCAAAACTGATCCAATAGCACCAAATAACAACTATCAAGACATTTGTATTATAGGTTATGTATGTACTGTACATTATGATACACACACACACATACCATCTTTATTTTACCATTGTGCCATTTCCCAGAGCTGTTGGAATGGTTTCTTCCTTTGTAGCAGCTGTGTAGATCATTTTTGTTTTATCTATAAAGGTATAAAAGAAAACAATAGTTAATACAAAACTTCCTGATTCTGGAAAACAATACCAATGTACCCCTAGGATATGCTGATATATGGATTTTGTTTTTATCATCTGTCCACCATTTATTTTTTGCTTTCCCAACGTCCCTAATAGTAATATGAAGGGCCTTCAAAAGTTTATGGGAAAATAGAATTTTTTATATGAACTTTTTGAGTTCTCTGGTACTAGTAATGAAAGGTCCATCTGCTTCCTTGCACATAAACAATAGGGGAAATATTGAATATAACATGGGTTATATATAAACAAAGATGACTTGCATTTTGGGAGTAAGGAGGGCTAGAGAAAAGCTTTAGGGGAGGGAGTCTTCCTGAGTGAGAACTCCTGCCCTCCTTGGGTCTGAAAGTGTTCTTTGGTCTATTATTCCTGTCATGACTCCATAAAGGAGCTAGGAAGACAGGAGTCAGGGCTCACCTTTTCTGTTTCCATTATCTGGTAGAATCGTTCAGGAATCAAAACCTTTTTTTGTTGTTGTTGGAATCAATATGAATTTTTATTAACACGTATTTGTTAAAGTGTGTACAAACCAAAACCTTCCTGTGTTTTAAAATATTCATCATTACAAACATACAAAGAAACAAGGTTTTACGAAAAGTTGCGTACTCAGTTTCATGGTAAAACAGTGCCATGATTTTTAGAAACCAAAATTTTCTAGACTGAGGTCTCTCCTTCCCTTTTTTGAATTTATGCAACGTTAGAAAATGTGTGGATTTGCTTTAATATATTAAATGCCACGGCATTAAAAAAGATTTAGTATAAAACTTTGTGTGTGTTTATATTGTCGTACTTCATGTAACAGAACTTCTCAGTCTTCAAAACAAAAAAAGGAAACCCAAAATACATGATTGTTTTGTTTTAAATCTTTGCCCCGTACTCAATGCATCTGAAAAATATGATCTGATCCTGACAGCAGATCATTACCTAAAAGTTTCTCATTTAAAAAGCTACAAAACTAGTTAATATTGCTGTTTCCCTTGCTTAGAAGGGAAAATCACATTCCCTAGGGAGTCCTGGTGTGGTGCTGTGGGTTAGTGTGCCAGACTGCAAAGCCATTTGAACTGCAAGGTCAGTGGTTCAAGCTCACCAGCTGCTCCTTGGAAACCCTATATACAGGGTCGCTATGGGTCAGAATTGACTCAACTAGGGTGATATATGTGCAACATGGTCCATTGTTCCTCTTATCAAAAGGAAGCCATCCACTTCCACATCTCTGTCCAATTATGTGCATGGTTCCAATTGTGAGAATGCTATCACAAATGATAGTGCAATTTGCTTCTTGGAAATGCTAAGCAAATTAAACGTTGCTATAATTTTGGTGGGATGAGGTACATATGTCATTTGCCCTCATGATTACCTCTAACTCTAGTATCCCCCATGGGATAATGATTCTAAAGGTGCTGGTTTTGCTAAGTTTCATGGCACACCACACATCCCTAGTCTGGACTAGTCTTTCACAAACAAGACAGAGGACCTAAAAATATGGCTAGTAATGCAAATCTATCCCCACTTCTGGAAAAAGTAAATCCATATGCCTACTGACAGGGGTTAAGAAGGGAAGCACAGGGCACACACAATTCTGGCTGTGACCAAGCGGTTCCTGAGAAGTGCCTGTCTTCAGTGCATTCCCATCAAACAGAATGTAAAGGCCTGGGTGGGTGAGGCCTGGGGAGGAGGTAAAGTGATATCCTTTCTCTCAAATGAACTCATAGTCCTTACTGAGTAGTTCATTCGGACCCCAGAAATGCTCTGTAGTTCAAATATTGTCCTATTTTGAATCTGTTCATATGAAAAAAATGCTCACAGTAGCACAGTAACAAGTTATATGAGCAAATAAAGGGTATATATATACATATATGTATAAAAGAAAGTGGCAGTGTGAGAATTTAAAATCAAGCATGTAAAACAACTAGGAAAAGGGAGGGGGAGTGTCCAGTACAAACTGGACAACCCTTCTTTCTGCCTTTACTTAAAAAGACAAAGACTGTTCATCAAATCGTTGCTATCTCCCTTAAGTAGCTCCTTAAATGCTCTTCCAAGAAATCTTCCAAAGGCACTTCACTCCATACTTGTTATGCATTAAATTGTTCTACCTTAGCAATCAGTTTTTAAGACTCTAAGGTAACAAGAAAGATCTGGTTCTTAATAAAAGCTGGAAAGTAGGACTATTTTTTCAAGAGGCATCAATTTATAAGAACAAGCTAGACTACCATTATTCCTTTATTGAGAAAAAGTTTCTTTTTTAAAAAAAACAAAAACCAAAAAAACTCTGGCTATACACAGTACAAGGCTCATACATAATATACTTGGAAAAAAAATACTCAAGAATGTACCCTGAAGCAAAAGGTTTATTGGAGAGAGAAAGCCTCTTCCATTTTACCGTGTCTTAAAGTGGTAGTCAGAGGGTGGCAGTGATATGTAATTAATGCCAAAATATTTGCTTATGGGTATGGCAGGATAGGGGAAAAAGTTATTCTGCACATAATTATGAGCAGTGAACACCACAAATAAAACATCACCAAAACAACAACAACAACAACAAAAAAACCCCAACAAACCTAAGGAGTAGTACCAAGAGTGAAAGACAAAGAACGAGAGATTCAAACTCCACACACATTCAACATGCGGTCCTAGCGCAGCACAAACCAGTTGTTCCCATCCAGATAGCCCACTGCAGTCAATCGCACGAGGAAGATTACTGTAATGAAATAGAGATTTCTTAAGAAAGCTTGCAACTCCCAGAACAGCTGGAGAACAGTTAGTTCTCCAACCCCAAACCAGCACTCCATCAGCTGTTGCTGGGTAGTCTGGTGGTCTCTCACAGAAAAGTTACAGCACCTGAGTTTTTGGACTTTTTACTCTTGGACAAGGCAGCTGCCTGCTTCAGAAGTTCTCAGTTTATGGCCTGCAACTGTTCTGTAATTTCTTTGTGGGTTTTCTCCATCTGGTTCATTTTGGCTCTCATCTGAGACTCCTGGTACTGAAAACCAGCCTTCAACTCTGTAATCTTCTTTTCTTTCTCTAAAATCATTTGATCCTTTTGATGCAGCATCTTCTTAAGAGTGACCACTTCTTCCTTTAGTTGGGCAATGATGATAAAGTGGTCAGTGCCTGATGAGTCCAGAGCCAGGTCTGGGGAAAAGCTGTCTCCATGGTTGTAATTGACTCAAACTTGGACTTTGGGATTTCATTTTGGATTGAAGATGTACAAAGTGTTTTCTGGCTGTTGTAATGAGCAATGCCACTATAGTGGTGACTGTACTGCTCCTTCTCCTGGTGGCCAGTCTGGCTGTTTGGTCTTCTGAAGGACCCATTTGTAAGAGAGAGTGCACAGCCAACACAGCAATTTCCATCTACCTTCTTTCTATCGTCTTTCCTGTCAAATGCACATTGTTGCTTGCACTATTCACAAGAATATGGTGGTCTATACTTTTTCTCTGAATTTGTACGGCACTGGCACTTATTGCCAATAAATGCTGCAATTATGTTGCAGTACTGACAAGGCTTGGGCATTCCATACAACTGCACATTCTGAACACATTTCTTGCATACTGTGTTGGTTTTACTCTCCTGCTGGTACTCAGTCCTGCAGTAGGTGCACTTCACAACAGGGTGTGCAATCTGACATTCCTTGCACAGCTGCTGCCCCTGAGACAGCGCCTTGAAGGGGAAGCACTGGTGGCACTTGGTGCAGGAGTAGAGTGCCGCCATGTCCAGCTCAGGCTGTGTTCACCACCCCACTGGGGGCCCGCTGCTTTATCTGACAGTCTGAAGCACAATCTCAGGAATCAAAAGCTTTTGTGACAGATTCTTCATCCTGTACATAGCTGTTTGGAATCCTTACGATCCATTAGCTCCAAAGAAATAAGCCACTTTAGCTTAGTTTTACAACTGCTTCCCCTTCGTCTTCTGATATGTGTTATGAGGGAAGTTCTTTTTAGGTCTTGAGAGTGTGGGGACTCTTAGTATCAGCCTCTTGAGTGCATTCAAACTTAGAACCAGGGAGCCTTCTCTCCCATTTGTTCTTGGAGGCAGCTGTGGAGTGGGAGGGCTAATTAGACAACAAATGTCCAAACTTCTTTCAGAGAAGTGTCCTGCTAGAGTCTTTCCCATGAATCCACTGTAGTTTTAAACCAAAGCTGCCGAAATGGCTCTGGAGTATGATCAGGATTTATGTTTTGTTTTTAACTCCTCGACCAAGATTTTTGGGTAATCGCAAGGGGCAGAGAATCCCCCTTTACAACTGTTGTTCTTAAGTGCCATCGAGTCATTACCAACTCATAGCAACCCTGTATTGGGTTTTCGAGAAGCAGCTGGTGAGCTTGAACTGCTGACCTTGTGGTTCAAAGCGACCTGGCTGTCCAGCGCACTAACCCACAGTGCTACACCAGAACTCCATCCCTTTACAACTGTAAGATACTAAATGCCATCAGCGGAAGCTGTGACTGTCTTATAGAGTATAAGCTACAATCTTCAGGGTCTAGAAAGGGTTTTTAAGTGGTCCTCAGTTACTTTCATGGGAAATAGGCAGTTGAAGGATTTGGTTAAGTGATTTGTTGCTATCCAGCCAGGTCTGATTCATAGTGATCCTATGTACAATAGAACAAAATACTGCCTGGTCCTCTGCCATCCCACAGTAATTGATATGTTTGAGTCTGTGGTTGGCAGGCACTCTGTAAATTCATTTCGTTGAGGGTTTTTTTGTTTTTTTGCTAATCATCTACTTTACGGAGCCATGATGTTCTTCTCCAAGAACTGGTCCCTTGTGACGACATGCTTAAGGTACATGAGATGAAGTGTGGTCATCTTCCCTTCTAAGGAGCATTCTGGCTGTACTCCTTCCAAGACAGATTTTTTTGTTCTTCTGGTGGCCCATGGTATATTCAATAATCTTTACCAAAACCATAATTCAAAGGCATGATTACATTTTTGGTTTACCTTTGTCATTGTCCAGCTTTCACTTGAATATGAAATGAAACTACCATAGTTTGGGTCAGATACATCTTAGTCTTCAAAGTGGCACTTTAAAAAGATCTTTTATAGCAGATTTGCCCAATTCAATACATTGTTTCAATTCCTGACTGTTCCTGCCATAGGTGTTCATTGTGGATTCAAGTAAAATGAAATCCTTGTAAGTCTTTTCTCCGTTTACTATGATGCTGCGTATTGGTCTAGTTGATTAATAGCCAAGTGATTAGGAATAATATAATAGTGCTTTAGAGTTATAAACTACTTAAACGTGTCACCAAATAAGGTTGGGTTTCTTGGATTAAAAAAAGAGAAAAGAATGGTAGCTATAAAGATGGTTTGGGGGCAGCATCTGACCTCCTCTGACTCCAACAGTAGGAAGAAGGAGAATCCATCAGCATCAGTTCTTGGCCTGTTCCTATGAGGTTGAAATCAGACATGCATCCACCCTCCAGTCTTCTTTACCACTTGGACACCAGCTATCCCTCCCACAGCACTCTCTACTGCTCTGGCTTCAGTCCTTCATTGAGAAGGCCACTCAGGACACAGACCGCACATGATTATGGGGTCTCTTGGGGGAATTGAACAGGCTACAATTAAGAATCAGAAATATTCAGGATATATTTCTTTGGTCAGAACAACATCTCTACTGTGCCCATAGTCTGAGCCTCTGCCTGCTTGCTCTCTGCTGATAAATGTCTAAAGGACACTCCAGTCCTCTGTAAGCCTCAGCCTGAAGGTGCTCGGCTCTAGTTCCATGGCTCAGCAAACCTAAATCCCCAATTAAATGCCTGGAGGCACCCTACTCCACAAGCCAGCCTCCTGCCTGAAAACACTTAGTGTTCTTCACTCCCTGGACCGGAAAGCCCACTGCTCTGTCCTATGCTCTGGCTCTGCTGCTGCTGCCCCTCTGCCACTCCTCTGCTGCTTCTCTGGTGTCACAGCCTTCTTGGATTGAGAAGGTACAACATGCAGGGATCTTGGGGTCCAAAGGATGCGCTCTACTCTTGGCTCTTGTTCCTTGATGGTAGTGAGACCCCCTCTACTGCTGCTGGGAAGACTCATTTTATACCCAGCTGGATGGCAGGAGAAAGAAGAGACTTTTTGCTCCCACAAAGATTTACAGTCTCAGAAACCTTATTATACACATTCACTGTAAGTTGGAAGTGACTCGATGGCACGTAGCAACAACAACAGGATGGCAAAATTAGCCAATCCTGTTATTAGATTTCCAAGTCTTCACAATCAAATTTAACCCTGCTAAATAATCACAAACAATGCTATAAGCATCTTTCCCCACCTTCTCTTACCCAGACCAATTAAGAAAAAAGTAGCTTGGTGGAAGTTACAAAGACAGACATACTAAATAATTCACTGCACTGCCGTAGCTATTTGGGATTAACTACTTTGAATCTGCTGGTTAATGTGCTGGTTAATGTGCTGGAATGCAAAGTTGGTTTGAACTGTAAGGTCAGTTGTTCAAACTCCCAGCCACTCCTTGGAAACTCTACAGGGTCGCTGTGGGTTGGAACTGACTCGACAGCACTTAACAACAGCAACAACAACTGCTTGATGATTTATAGTGTAACCAGAGTTGAAGAATCAGTTTGGATTTGGGTTTTTAGGCCTCATTGCTTTAACATGCTTCCCTTCATATGGGAATGCGAGTGCAGAGACTCAGACCTGGTTCCAGAACATGAGAAGCAGTTCCTGAAGAACACAGACACTTCCCCGACACTTTGTTCACATAACTAATCATAACATAAAATGATAATGCCCAAGGCAGTTCTGTCCTATTTCCTTATTCTGAGTCCTACATGGTCTCCCCACTTGTTGCTGTTGTTAGGTGCTGTTGAGCTGATTCTGACCATAGCAACCTTTCTGTACACCAGAATGAAACACTGCCTAGTCCTGCACCATCCTCACAAGTGTTGTTCCATTTGAGCCCATTGCTGCTGCTACTGTGTCAATCAGTGTCATTGGGGGTCTTCATTTTCGCTGACCATTCACTTTACCAAGCATGATGTCCTTCTCCAGGGATTGAGTCCTCCTGACAACAGCCCAAAGAATGAGAGAAAAAATCTCGTCATCCTGGCTTCTCAGGAGCATTCTGTCTGTACTTCCAACACGTATTGGTTTGCTCTTCTGGCAGTCTCTGTGGTGTTTTCAATATTCCTCACCAATGCTTGATTATTCTACAATCTTCCTTATTCACTGTCTGACTTTCACATGTGTATTAGTCTATTGAAAATACCATGGCTTGGGTCAGGTGCACCTTAGTCCTGAAAATGACATCTTTGCTCTTTAACACTTTAAAGAGCTCTTTTGCCTAATGCAATATGTCATTTGATTTATTGACTACTGCTTCCATGAACGTTGATTGGATCCAAGCAAAATGCCCTTTTCTCCATTTATCATGATGTTATTTAATGGACAAGCTATGAGGATTTGCTTTTCTTTGCATTCAGGTGTAACCCATACTGAAGGCTGTAGTCTTTGATCTTCATCAGTATTTTGTCTTCTTGGCTTCCAGCAAGCAAGGTTCTGTTATCTGCATATGTTGTTATTAAGTGCCATCGAGTCAGTTCAGACTCATATTGACCATGTATAGGGTTTCCAAGGAGTGGCTGGTGGATTTGAACAGCCTACCTTGTGGTTAGCAGTCCAGTGCTTATCCTACAGTTTCACAGCAGGATTCTGAAGAAGTTGGTAGAATTCTTCAATTTCATCATAACTGACTTTAGTGTTTGGTGCATAAAATTGGAAAAATAGTGGTATTAACTGGTTTTCTTTGTAGGTATATGAATATTATCCTATCATAGACAGCATTGTATGTCAAGATAAATTTTGAAAATTTTTTTCATGATGAATGTGACACCATTCCTCTTCAATTTGATATTCTCTGCATAGTAAACCATATAATTGTTTGTTTAAAAATGGCCAATACTATCTATGCTTTCCATATCATTTTTGACTACTTCCAATTTTCTTAAATTCATACTTTGGACAACCCACATTCCAATTAAAGGATATTTTCAGCTATTTCCTTCCACTTTCAGTTGTGCCACATCAGCAAATGAAAGTCTGGAAAACTTTCATTTCATTCAAAAATTCATGTCATTAAGGTCAACTCTACTTTGAGGAGAGTTGTATTTGAGTGCCTTCCAACCTGAGAGGCTCATCTTCTGGCATTATATAAGACAATGTTTTGCTGCTGTTCATACGGTTTCCAGTGGCTAACCATTCAGAAGTGGTTTGCTTCTCCTTCTTCCTAGTCTGTCTTAGTCTTGAAGCTTTGCTGAAACCTGTCCACCACGGGTGACCTTGCTGGTATTTACAAATACTTCTGGCATCACAACAAGCTGCACACAAGCTTCCACAGTATGACAAATTGACAGACAAGTGGTGGTCTCCCCATATAGACAAAGCAAACATTGCTACAATTCCACGAGGCACTGCACCCATTTTGATTATCCCAGCTGGAATGCAGAAATGGAGGCAGTTAATAAAAGTAGTCCTTGACTCTTTAAGGCCCCTTGTACAATTCTTGATGCTACCTGGTTCCTAATGACTTCATAGGAGTCACCTGTCTGAAAGATCCCTGCTAGAGGATTACTGGCAAGATTAGGCTCAACATAGAAGCAGAAATCAGAAGGGGATGAATCAATGCTTACCTTTGGTAGGCTTGATTTTCTGGTAGCACCGAAAGATGGCAACAAACAGAAGACCTTCTCCAAGCTGGAAAATCATGTAGAGGAGAGGGAAGAAGAAAAGCGGTCCAATAACTTCAGGAGGAAAGGTCACATTGAGGATGGTGGAGCAGAGTTGAACATTTTGGCATCCGGTCTCCATGCTTACAGTGCGTCTGCACCTGTGCAGGTGACAAAACCAGCCCCATTTACCTTCAGGAAAGATGCCAAGTTGGCTTGTCCTTCCCAGTCTCCCTATCTCCCAGAGACTCTGGAAACCACTGAATGTGAGCCAGGTGTTTGGAATGCATGTGGATTCAAGAAAATCCAGACTGAGCTGTCTCTTAAAAACATTAATCTAGGTGGTGAATAGTAAATTCCTGTCAGAATTCTTGTAAGAGTTTTTCAGCAGCTTGGAAATGTGTGATTTTTCTGCTTTGTGGGATTGCTATATTGAAATCTAGAGAATGCTTGCCTGGTGAGGGATGGAAGTGAACCAAGGTTCTTTGGTTATGTTGGACTTACATGGTGGACAACTATCCAAAGTATTCAGGACCTTTTCCTGTCCCAAATGTTTCTGGCTCAGACATCATTAGGTCTAAAACATGTGATGATTTTTAAAAAGGACTCAAGTCAGCCCCATTTCTGGAAAACATTCTGTTGATTTTGCTTTATATTTTATGGGTTGAGGAATAGGATTAAAAAAAATGTTTTATTGTGAATTATGCGATAGTTTACATGGAAGAACATTAGTTTTACATTCATCCTATCGTATATCATTTCATTGCCATGGTTGCAATCCCCCCCATGCATCATCAACCAACCAAAGGGTATACACTACAAGACTGCCCCCTGGTCGTCAGCGCACAGCCCCTCTCCTTCTCTTGGTCTAAAGTCCTCAACTGCTCCATCTCTTCACGTCATCGTCTCTGCCTCCATTTCAGGCATCACTGCTTCTCTAGGTAGGGTCCTGCTCTTGACTCTTCTCCCTTGATGGTCCCAGGGACCTCCGCTCCTAGACTGAAAAGTTAATCACTCCCCTCCTTACTACAAGCGGTCCTGATAACAATTATTCATTATTGTATTACAAGAGACCCATCCACATTTCATTTCACCAGCCCCGCCTAGACAGATTGGATACTACTCAGTGGAAATTCTACCTTCCTTCACGCCCTCTGAATCTAGGTTCCCTCGTGAAAGCTTGTAAACCAGTCACTTCTTGCCTTTGTAGCACCCCCATTTTGGGTAGTCGATGTTCGGTTGCCTATCCCTGTTTACTCTGTGTATGGCGGGGGTGGGAATGATCCTTGCTGTAAGGATTTGTTCCCTCTTTTGAGCTACTGCATCCATAGGTGTAGGTCAAGTTCTATCAGATTATTCTTCTTTTCCTCTTCTTTCTTCTTCTGGTTGAGCTCTGATTATCCAGTCATTGAAGCCAGGTCAAGTGGGTATAATCTGCAAGTGTGGGTGTTCTTGTGTATATGTCCTCTTGTCTTATCAGCTGGACGCTTCACTCTCCACTCGAGTCCTCTGTGGCTATGCCACTGACTCTGGGCCACACTGCTGGCCAACCCAGGTTCACGGGAGTCTATTGAACATTGTAGGGCTTAGCTTGAAGCTTTATTGCTGTTTTTCCCTCATTTCCCCTTATCGGTGACGAATATGGTCACCAATCAGAGCGGGTATTCCCATTGAGACTTAGTCTTGAAAGGGGGTTTACACTGCGGGGACCCGATCACTTACCTTGATGTCTCCTAGGCAAGCAACTTGTTTGTTCTTGTAGTAACAGTTGATCTGCCTATATTGTTTTGTATTTTTCCTAGAGGTCTTTCTTTTAAGTAGTACCTTCTGTTCTAGCCACTCCAGGCTGGTCTGCTCATCCTTTCAAGTGGAAATTTCCCATCTCTGGATGAGGTTCAGGCTTCCACCTATAGTCTTATGTAATGCAGAGGCTCCGCAGGAAGCCTCCTTCACTGGGCATGTTGTAACCCCATTTTAGGTATGAGGAATAGGATTTTTATATTTACTGAATATACATTTAATATATTGTGTTGCAACTTAGTGTATTCAAATACGAGGGTAAATAAAAACTTATTGCTACAAAATCATAGAAACCTTTATTAAACAAAAAATCAAAATGTGAAACTATTATTTTTAGACATATCCTCCGTCTAGGTCTATGCATTTTTGGTACTGTTTCCATCTTTCTAACCCTTCCTTGGGGTCCTGGGGTGGTACTGCTAACCATAAGGTCTGTGCTTCAAACCTAGCAGTTGCTCCTCAGAAATCCTATACAGGGTCACTATGAGTTAGAACTGACTTGATGGGACTTAACAGCAGCAACAACAACCCTTCTTGAAGAATTCTGTGCTCTTATTCTTACACCATGTCAAAATGGCAGTTTGGACGTCCTCCAGGGACTCAAATTATATTCCTTTGAAATGTTCTTTGAGTTTGGCGAATGTGAAGAAATCTGAAGGGGTAAAATTAGTGCCATAGGGTGGATGTTGTTGTTAGGTGCCTTCGAGTCGGCACTGACTCATAGTGACCTGATGCACAGCAGAACGAAACAATGTCTGATCTCGGGCCAACCCCACTACCGTTGCCATACTTGAGTCCATCGATGCTGCCACCTGGCCAATCCATCTCACTGGGGGGTCTTCCTCTTTTCTCTGACCCTCCATCTTACCAAACATGATATCCTTCTCTAGCGACTGTTCCCTCCTGACAACATGTCCAAAGTCTGAGAGACGAAGTTTGGCCATCTTGGCCTCTAAGAGCACTCTGGCTGCACTTCTTCCAACACAGATCTGTTGGTTCTTTCGGCAGCCCATGGCACTTTCAATATTCTCCTCCAACACCGTAACTCAAAAGCACCAGTTCTTCTATGGTCTTCCTTATTCACTGTCCAGCTTTTGCATGCATATGAGGTTATTGAAAATACCATGGCTTGGGTCAGGCGCACTTTAGTCCTCAAGCTGACATCTTTGTCCTTCAACACTGTAAAAAGTTCCTGTGCAGAAGATTTGCCTAATGCAATATGTTGTCTGATCTCTTGACTGCTGCTTCCGTGAGTGTTGATAGTTGATCCAAGAAGAATGAAGTCCTTGACAACTTCAATCTTTTCTCCGTTGATAAGAATGTTGTTTATTGGTCCAGTGGTGAGGATTTTTGTTTTCTTGACATTGAGATGTAATCCATACTGAAAGCTGTGCTCTTTGATCTTCATCAGTAAATGTTTTAAGTCCTCTTCACTTTCAGCAAGCAAGGTTGTATCATCGGCATATCGCAGGTTGTTAATGAGTCTTCCTCCAATCCTGATGCCACATTTTTCTTCATAGAACCCAGCTTCTCGTATTATTTGCTCAGCATACAGGTTGAATAAGTATGATGAAAGAATACAACCTTGTCACATACCTTTAGGGTTTTCCAACAATGTTCTTGTAGGACATCCTTGCTACTCTCAAAGAATGAACAGGTGTATTGTGATGAAACAAAAATTCTTTGGTGCAACTCTTCTTCCCTTTTGGTCACCAATACAGCTTTCAATTTTCTGAAAACTTCTTATAATAAGCCTCCATTAACTTCCTTAGAGAAAATCTATAAAAATTACCCCTTTGGGATCCCCAAAACGTCTTACCATTACCTTTTGTGCTGGTCTCTCTGCTTTGAATTTAAGTGCCTCAACAGATACCCTCAGAAGTCACCATTTTGACTGAAGCTGTTTTTAAAGGCAACCTAGTGAAACTGCTACTGAGAGAACTTGTCTGTAGCCATCCACTGACTGCATAGGCAAGTTTCAACACATGTTATTTAGAATACACTCTTGTGTATATGAGTTAGAACCCTGGTAACAATACTTTTGGACTGACTCTCATAGTTGCTTCGTACTAACACAACCATCGCAGCATCTATTTTGAAGGATTCTATTGGATGACACTTGGTGGTGGAATCTTCTGTCATGGTCTATTTCACCCTGCCTTATGAAAATCGACACCACTGAATTATTATTGGCAAGCAGTTTGGTTTACTAGCACACCATGCGTTACATATATGTATGGTGTTGTTAAGTGCCCTCAAGTCGGTTCTAACACGTAGTGTTTCTGAGGAGCGGCTGGTGAGTTTGAACCACTGACCTTATGGTTCAAACCG